AAAAAAAAAAATCAGGCTGTAGCGTGGAAAACGGTGGTGGGTTAAACATCACCCACCAGGAGTTAACTCTTTTCCTTAGTGGATGACTCTTGGTTTCATTTATTTATATAAGTATGTATGGTGTGTATGTTTATGTGTGTGACTATATATTAAATATGCACATATATGTTTAATTGAGGGAGGTAGTGCTTTTATAGCTGGGGGAGGGGGAAGAGACCCTCTAAATGAAGGAGTGGAGGGTGCTGGGGGCATCGCAGCCCCTGAAATAGTGCCAGAAGGGCCCCCACTCCGGGATGGGCGGGCGGGCTCTCTCCTGCTCTGGACTCTCCCGGCTGCCTGCTTTTTGCTGTCTGCCATGCTGGGCTGGTGGTCCTCACTGCCCCTGTCCTGGAACTTCCTGGCTGCCTTTTCTCTGTTCCTTCTATTGCCCACTCCTCTTGGATTCCCCATCCACAGAGGTTGTCCCCCATAGACACACAAACACACATGCTGCTTTCTCCTGTTGGCTGCCGCTGTCCTCCTCCCTGGGCTCCATCCTCCCAACTTGGAGCAGGTTTCAACATGCTGCCTGCCTTGTTGCTCCCCGTCTCCCGGTCCTGGTTGCTATGTCTCTAAAGGCCCCCACCCTGGCTGTATGTCTGTACGTACGGGGAGCCGACAGATAATGCTGCTCCTAATAATAACGGGGGAGAGCGGAACAAACAGGAGCAAAAACACCAATAACAAAACGTGCCCACGAGGCTTCAGTGTAACCAGCGTTTCAAAGCTGTTCGTGTCCCAGAATCGAGTGAGCTGCTTTGCTGGGAGGCATCTTGGTTAGTTTGCTTTCTGATTTCTCCCCCTCCCCACCCCGGTAGGGAGATAACTCCACTGGGGAAAGTTCCCATTGAGGGGAGTTTGTGTTCTTTGTGTGTGTTTGTGGGGGGATGTGCTGGAGTTGGTATTCAGTGGGAAACACATGTGCTGCAGAACCCATCTCTTTCCGCCTCTCTCGCTGGCTGGCTGCAAGGGTGGTTGAAACGGTCTTGGAGTAACTTGCTTTGTTTCCTGACACCTGTTAATCGACATTCTGAATTGTGTATACGTGTGCTGCTGCCTCACAAGCAAAACTTCTGTCTTCAGGGGAGACGCTTCCCTGGCAGCCCAGTCTGGAGCCTTCTACCTCCCCACCTCCCACCTCTTCTCTTTCATTCATTGCAGAGGGGGAGGAAGGAGGCAGACGAGCATTTGGGGTGTGGTCATCTGGGGGGGGGGTGTCACATCAGAATCAAGAAAGATTTTGTTGCTTTTGCTCCTTAAGATGGGGGCACTGTACATGTGGAAGCCACTCACTTCTGCGTGTAGCTTTGTTTATGTTTGTTCTTATACATTGCCTCTCTGTGCTGGTTGGAAATGCCTGCCTGGTGTATTTACATTTACTCTCATTGGGGTAAATGCATGAAAATGTTTTGTTGTGTATGTGGTATGTTTGCTTGTGTGTCTCCTCAGATTTTTATCGCATTTAGCCCTAACTTGTTTGTTCAACTGATAAAACCATGGCCACTGTTTTCAAATAAGAGATTAAAACATTCTATTGTGGAACAAATGCTGAAAATATCATTGCTATCAGGTAGTACTTGATTCCACTTGTATGATCTCTAACAAAAGCCTTGCAATCCCTTTATTAGTTCTTAGAAACAAACACATACCCACCCTATAAAAGTACATTATATTGGGACTGTAATCCCTGTTGAATCTGAGATAAACTTCTGTGTAAACATTCATTATAGTTCAGTCTCTAGAAACAGCTGATTTTAATTCACAGAAATGTACTTTAACACATTTACATGTCCACAGTAAATACAAAGGTAAGCCATGTACTCTCGGTTCTTGGAACAGGAGCTCCGACAGGCACCTTTACTGTGCTTTTTACTAGAATAGAATGTTTGTATTCTCTTGACATTTTTAAGATCCCACATCTTTGAAGCACAAGGTTCAACCCTGCAAACACACAATGGTAATCCCTTATGTAACAAGTCATTCCTAGGTAGCTAGGATCATGTGTGGTGAAAGAAGCAGCAAAATATTGTTTGCTGGAAATCAGGAGTTTTCAGAATAAATGAACAAGAAACCTTAGAGATAATAAAATAGTTAAATTGCATGCAGGTCTTGCCAGGCCAAAGACCAAAAGTGTCCCAGTAAACGGTTATAGTGCCAGAGAAGCCCCCAGGGTATGGGAGCTGTATTTCAGTCACTCTGTGACCCTGATTAGCACCTCCTTCCTATAAGGCTCTACGTTGAGAATGGGACTGAGACAAGACGAATTAGATACAAGGTTGGGGGGGAGGTTATGTATGTGCAAGAGAAAAGCCCTCCTGGATGATCTGCATGAGAATGGGAAGAAGTGAAATATCACAATTCTCCAGTTTTCTCTGACCTTAGCTGAGTTGAGGGGCACACAAGGGAGTGAGCAGTGTGATAGGTTAGTTAGAGGACCTTGTCACATAGACGCTCAGCTGCAGAAGTTTAAGCCTCAGCGTCTAGTTGGGTCTATTTGAACTCTCATTGGCACTATTAAAGGTGGCAACTAGTGAGTTTAGGGGGAGAAAAAGGACACATGTGGGGCGGGCTGTTGAAGAACTCAAGGCTGTTCCCATCCCAGATACCATGTTGCCCTCTCTTTCCTCACAGGGGGATTATTTCCAAACCAGCAGTCACAGGAACATGCCGCTTTTAGATTTGCTTTGTCGCAACTCACAGAGCCCCCAAAGCTGCTCCCCCAGATTGATATTGTGAACATCAGCGACAGCTTTGAGATGACCTATAGATGTAAGTAATTGCTTCTATTTCTGAGATTTCTTTCTGTGCTAGGCCAATGAAAGGAGGACCTGTGGGTAGGTGGTGGTGTTGCAAAAATGACTTTAGTTGTCATTTGTCTTCACAAGAGAAAACCCTCCAAGAAAAATGTTGAGAGTCTTCTGAGTGAGTCCAGCAGTTGGCATTTTAGCCCTTGCAGTGTTTCATGGACTAGGTTTGCTTTTTCACTGTCAGCTAACTTGAAATGCCAGCAGATGGGTACTTGGGGTGACTGCATCTCCCCTACCTCACAGAGGTTTTCTGGTTCAGCTGAGAGAGTTTCACACATAGGAAACTTCTGAGAGACATAGAATTAAAGGTTCTGACATTACGAGAATGTGGCTTAAAATGCTGAAGTTATTTCTTGTCCATAAGTTAAAAAAAGGAAATGTCTTTGTAGCATGAATTAAAAAAAAAAAAAGACAGTTGAGCAGTTGTATACTTCTGGTTTCTCATTTTTTTTAAGTGACTGATAATTATTAAAACTTGATGCCTTGATTATTTTTAAAATGGCTAGAAGTGATTGACTGCTGAAGACATAGTTTGCAGGATGGCCTTTGAGCAGAAAGCAGAACAAAGGTGGCTTCAAGAAAAAGAGAGGCGAGATAAATCTATGGGATGTGGACTGTATTATAAAATGTGGTCAAGAAGCACCATTCTGAGTTTTTCTGGCCACAAGGACTGAAAAGGAAGCCTGTATGGTTGTATGATTGTCATTTTATGACAGATGAAAGAATAAAAATTAATCAGTAGAGACATTTTCCCCTCAGGGATGATACTCAAGTAAAAAATTATGGCATGGAAGTGTGAGCTGAACGTGGAAGAACAATTAGAGACCAAAAACTGAATTAAATTGGCACCATAGGCTTGCATGTATCTATGGACGTGGCGACTTCTATTGAGCTATGGATGTTTGAAGGCATGGACCCTATTTCCTTCTTCCCTTCCCCGAATTCCCACATGGTGGGCGCTCCATGATTTGAACTGAGCATGCTTTGAAGTCTTAAAATGATAAATCAGAATTCTTCCTATCCCTAAGACCACTCCTAATGTTGATATGAATTTCAAGAATTATAATTATAACAGATTTTATTTATTGAGAATGTACTATGCATCAAGAATTATGATAAGTACTTTGTGGATAATTTTAGTAATGTTCACTGCCATTCATTGAAGATTGACTATGGATCCTGTAATATACTAATTGCTTTAGTGTTAGTTCATTTACTTTTCATAGGAGCCTTGGGGAGTGGTGTATGTTATCTTCCTTTTAGAGATGGGGAAATTGAGACTGTGGTAGGCTGTGTGACTTGCTCAAGGTTACACAGGAAAGGAAATGGTGGCCTTGTGACCCTGTGGTTCATGTTGCTGGACATTTTGTTGGATATGCTGATAACCTGGTCAAATATAGTGACTTGGTCAACTCTAGTGAGATATTCCAAGATCTGAAAAGGAAAGTTTAGGGTCTTATAAGGAAGTGACCTGATAAAGCACCTAAGAGGAAAAACTTAAGAGTGTTTCAAACTGCACAGGAGTTACCAGTTGGATAAATAAAATAGCAATTCTGCATTCTGGTAATGCTGAGGTTGAAGATCTTGTTCTCTGTGTTACCTAACTACCCTTGAAAAAGAGATGAAGTTTAATTGTTGAATTGTAGTTCTATGAAACCAGCTCCTTGGGAAGCTAGAATAATATTGAGTAGATATTTAGCTATTGGATAGCCTTCAACATCTCTCGATATGGCTTAGAGTAGGGTCTTTGCAGGGGGATTTGGGTGTGGGCATTAGTGCATCTGTAGACCAACGGAGATTATGCATAATATATTGCCTGCATGTGCAATTATTTAGCATGTTCTAAATTATTTCCTGGGGAGAGCCTGCACAGGTTTTCTCATACCCCATAGTTTTTGTCATACTCCCGAATGGGTGCATTATTTAATAAGGATTACTTGGTTTAGTGAATCAAGAAGAATAAATGGCTGGTATGTGTGTTCATTCCACTCCTATTGCTGAGAACCGCCTGCAACAGAATTTGGTGGAAAGAGACGTTAACTGCTCTGTTAGTGTCAAGATGTTGATTAGCAGGGCAAGGTCATAAAAGATGAAAATAGGAGGAAATGTTCTAGAGCAAAAGGTGGTGCTTCTGTATTTTTTATCTCAACAACCTAAGACTTGATCTCTAATGGAATTGTTAGCTATTTATTAGGGAAGGAGAAATATGCAATGTTGTCCATTTTGGTCAATGAATCTACAGTAGACGGATCTGGGTTCTTGAATTTGGTGCTTGCCATATACTAGTGAACAAGTTTCCATTAATTCCTGTTGTGTTCATTTCGTTAGTCTTTAAATGTTTCTTCCTAACCTATAAGTTGAAATGGATGTTGGAAATGCTGAGATGATAAGACAGTGTCCCCCACTGGAGGGTACAGTCCAGTTGAGGGACACTGTTTGGGGGATTGTCTAAGAAGCAGTACATTTACTTTCATTTATTTGCTTAAATCTTTCATTTCTCCTCTTTGGTTCCAAGTTCAGAGTGGGTACTAGGCAACTTGGGTGAGAATGATGGCATTATAATTCCTGGCCTACCTCAAACAGACTCTGCTAACTTTCATGTGAGGCTATGGAAAGCTTTAGAGCTATGTTCACTGTAGTCCCTCAGTCTGGGAAAACTTTACATCTGTCCTGGTTTGAATTGAATAAAAAATGTCAAAGAGAGCAGAGTAATTTGGTACAGAATGGGTTAATTAATCATACATGAAAAACCAAGAAAAACATTTTTCTTAGGTTTAATTTCATATGCCTTTTTGAAGTCTGGACTCATAGTTACCTTAAATTAACTGCCCCAGTCAGTCATATCTCCAGCAAAAGAACATAATTTGTGCTGTCCTTTGATGTTTTTCCTGCGCATCTTGCTATTCATTATCCCTCCACCAGAGGGTGGAGAAGGGAAGAGAGAGGAAGTTTAACAGCCACAGATCCTGCTAGACATTTTTGCAACAGGGTATTAAAAAGAGAGAGTAGTGGTTCTAGGGCAGGGAGGCAGGGGAGAGAGAAGAGGAGCATTACTAATATCACTGGTCAAGGTGAGTTTGGTGTCTTTGCTTTCAATCTTTCCTGCTTTTTTTCTCTGCCATCATTAATGGGTAAATTCATTGAATCAGCAACCCAAATGCCTTGGGATTTCCTCTAAACCCTCTTCCAAGCCTGCAGGGATATTGGCTGGGGCGGCTGTCCATAGAGAAGGTATTCACTGACCTGCTATCCAGCTTATCTTGATGCCGTTATGGTAAGTGTAAATAAAGGAATGAATGAAATGCAGAGCAGGGCTCCTATTAGAGGTCTGAGTAGTGAGTAGCACTGTTGCAATTTAATTCTTACCTTTTCATTCATTCATTCATTCAGCAAATACATTCTGAATGCCTGCTTCATGCCAAGCATTGTGCCAGATGCTAGTTATATAAGGGACAATAAAAAAGACACAGTCTCTTTCCTTGTGGAGCTTACAGTTCAGCACAGAGTTCCTCAAATTTCAGTGCACATAAAATTCACCCAAGGAGTCTGTTTAAAGCAAGACTCAGGGCAAACTCTCCAGTTCCTGAATCAGAATATTTAAGAGCAGGCCCTGGGGAGATTCTATAGTAGTTAATATGGGGGTCACACTTTGAGAAACTCTGTAATCTAAAAAGTCGTTCATGCCTTTAGTAAGCATTTTTAAGCCCTTAACCAAACCCAGGCATGATGTTAAATACTAGAAATGCAGACAAAAGTACGATGCATTTCCTGCCCTGAAGTACTTTATCTCTAGCGAGGCAAGACTGTCCTATAAAGAGAAAATTAAAATGTAACGTTGTAAGTGCTACAGCAGCAATTTGTATGGAGTATTACAGATGCCTTGAGGAGTGGGGTTGGCTTCTCAGAGGATGTTGGTGAACTGAGTCTTAAAAATATGTGTAAATACGAGCAGTCCCTGAGTTGCAAACATCAATCCAGCTGACGTACAACTCACAATTACAAAGGGGGGGGGTGATTGCAGGTAATAGGTAAATGTGTCTGTTCCAACTTACATACAAATTAAACTTAAGAACAAATCTACAAAACCCAGGGACTACCTATTGAGATTTTCCAAGGGGACAGGTGAGTGGGTAGGAAAAGGGAAGAGGCAGCCACTTTCTGGGCAGAGGGAGTGGCATATGCCAAGGCAAAGAGGATGTTTACCTTGTTCCCCACCTCCAGTGGCACTGTCTTCTTGCTTGGTGCTTATCAAGTGCTACAGAAAGGATCACCAAATAACCATCCAGAGGCTGGTTCCAGGGCCACATACTGTTCAATAATCACGAGATTTTGCATCAAAACTTGTATACCTTGTTTCTCTTAAAATTTTAAAACATCTGGCAACACTGGGCCCCCAGGTCTGTAAGGTCTTACACTTAAGTTCACAAACTATTTCTACAAAGACTGCTTCATACCTCATGGCTGAGTAGCACTATGGTGACCTTTGAAGTAGTCCTCTTGGGAAGCTATGTACCAGTGCCAGTGCCTAGTCCACCCTTCAAAGCAATTCTGGAATTCTCTTTCTGGAATGCTCATCTGAGCTATCATTGTACAAGGTCTGATAATTACGTTTGCAAACTTGCCACCATGTGCTTGTGTTGGCAGCACTGTACAAACACCTCGGGAAGGTTTCATAGCCTTGGTACATCAGTGTCTCAAAGCTGTGTTCTTGTTGATGTGTGGCAGCATCTTGCTGAATAGTGTTTATTGTTTATTATTATTACATGTTTTTGTATGTTATGCTATGACAGCACTGATGGTTATTCCAAAATGAGACTTCCAAAATTGCTCTGAAGAGTGGACTAGGTACTGGCACCTGTGTGTAGCTTCCCAAGGGGACTACTTCAAAGGTGACCATAGTGATTTTCAGCAAGGATATGTGGTACTTTTTCCTAGAATGAATTCATGAACTTAGTTGTCACA